ACACACAGACACACTCAGAGAGACACTGGCACACACGCACACACTCAGAGACACAGAATGAGACACACTCACAGACACACACTTAGACACACTCAGGCGCGCACACAATCAGAGAGACACTCTCAGACACTCTCGTGTATACACAGACACACTCCAGTCAGAGAGAGAGAGACACACACACATACACTGAGACACGGAGACATATACGCAGACACTCAGACACAGGCGCACGCAAAAATAGATACACTCACATACTCAGAGACACAACTTCCAACACATACATACACAGTCAGGAACACACAGACGCTAGGCACACTGATACACACACACACAGAGAAACTCAGACACAGGCATGCACATTTTATTTAAAGATTCCCATCTCTCGCCAGCAGCCCCACCGACCTGGTGTGTGGTACTTTGGAAAGCCGGTGGGAGTGGTTAAAGTCCCGTCCTGGGTTTCACTTCATTCCCCCCATTTGTTGTTTTGAACGGAATCCGGTGAGATTCAGGGTTGGAGATTGCTGCCCGCTCTGTACCATGTTTCGTTTGTGAGTTCGACCCAGCTCCTAGCCTTTCCCCTGCCGCTGATTGACAGTTCCACAACTCTCCGCCAAACCTCGTGGAACGGCTTCGTTTATTGTACAAACTATCTCTGGCCGTGTCTGCCAACCCCGAATTGATTCGCTCAATTTGTGCTGTGCAAAATAAATGAGAAAAAAAGAATGTGCATTTATATAGCACCTTTCATGTCCCAAATTGTGTTAGGGTGAATGAAGTTTTTTATTTTGAGCTATATTCTCTGTTATAATGTGGCAGCTCCTATTGACTAAAACATGTTATCATGACCTGATCATCTGTTTTACTTTAGTGATTCTGGTTAAGGGATATAGGTTAGCTAGGGCAGCCCACAGAACCTCCCCTCCCAACAACCCCATGCCCCATACTCCTTTGAGACAATGCTGTGGGCAAGACAGGACTTTTAGTTTAACATTGCATTTCACAGCGAGCACCTCCAATGATGTTGTAGCCCCTCAGTGTGCCAGGCTGGGTGATGTGCCCAGAGGCACGATACTGGAAACTCAGCTAAGCATCAAGTGGAAACAATAACATACAATCCAAGTGCAGGATGGTTCTGTTTTAATGTCTTTTTTTTTTGGCCGACTGGCTTCTGAATATGTTTGGAAGTAATCAGAATTAGAATTAGTTTTGTTGTCACGTGCTCAAACGAATTCAGTGAAAAGTGTACGAGTGACTGCTTACAGCGCCATCTTAGGTACAAAGATTCCTAGGTACAGCTTTGTCAGCTACAGTCCTTAGGAAAACTGAGAAAGTGAAAAGTCCAGCATTGCAGATTTTCGGAATACATTGCAAAAAGGAGGAAAGAAAATGTTCAGAACAGCAGTCTTCCAACCCCGTCCATGCTGGCACATATCCTCCCATCAGCACCGGGCCTTGACTCTTGGCCATGTGGGGCTTCACCTCAGGGTTCAAGAGGCCAAGGGACAAAAGGAGGAGAAGAAATAAATGCAATAACTATCACGAGAGAGAAAGTGCTAGGGAGGCTAATGGGGCTAAAGTTTGGTAAGTCCCCTGGACCCGATGGGATGTATTCTAGCATACTGAATGAACTAGCTACGGAGATAGTGGATACACAGGTAGTAATCTTCCAGAATTCCATAGATTCTGGAAGAGTCCCAGATGACTGGAAAATTGTCAATGTAACACCTTTATTTAAAAAGGGAAGAACACAAAAAGCAGGTAACTATGGGTCACAGCTTATTATGCTATTATGTAAATGTTAACAGTCTATTATAAAGGATGTAAATAGCAGAGCATTTAGAAATACATAATATTATCAAGCTGAGTCAGCATGGCTTCATAGAGGGCAAATCATGCCTGACACATTTACTAGAATTCTTTGAGGAGGTAACAAGCAGGATAGATAAAGGGGAAAGAGTAAATATAATATGTAATATATTTGGATTTTCAGAAGGTGTTTGATAAAGTACTGCATGTTAGCGACTTAATAAGATAAGAGCCATTGTGTTGAAAGTGGTATATCAGCAAGGATTGGTTATCTAAAGGAAGGAAGAGAGTTAAGATAAGGGAGGCATTTTCAGGGTGGCAACCTGGAGTAGGGGTCTACAGGGGTCAGAGCTGGGTCATAATTATGTACAATATACATTAATGACTTGGATGAGGTAAGTGATTGTACTGTTGCTTTGTTGGTGATGACAAAAACGAGTGGAACGCTAGTGATGGGGATGACATAGTGATGGGCAAAATCTTGGCAGGTGGGAAAAATATGAGGTTAGGCACTTTGGCAAGAAGAATTTAAAGGAGAAAGGCTGCAGAAAGCTACAGAATAAAGGGGTTTGACAGTGTTCATGCATGAATCACAGTAAGCTAATATTCAGATCCAGTATGTAATAGGAAAGGGAAAGTAATTGGAATGTTGGCCTTTATTTCCAAAGGAATGGAATATGAAAGTACAGAGGTTTTGCTGAAACTAGTCAGACCAGAGGTGGAATACTGTTTTGGGCCCCTTATCTAAGGAAAACTATCTTAACATTGGAGGCAGTCCATAGAAGGTTCACTTGGCTGATACAAGGTATGGAGGGACTGTCTTATTTAAAAAGGTTAAGTGTGTTGGGCCTGTACTCATTGGAATACAGAAGAATGTAAGGCAACCTTATTGAAACATAAAACATTCTTAGGAGACTTGACAGGCTAGATGCAGAATTATTCTTTCCTCTTGTCGGGGAGTTTAGGACCCGATGGCATAATAAAACATTGCCCATTTAAGGCAGAGATGAGGAGGAATTTCTTCTGAGAGAGCAGTGAATCTGTGGAATTCTTCACCACAGAGATGTCAAAGCTGGGTCGTTAAGCATATTCAAGGCTGAGATAGACAGATTTTTAATCAGTAAGGGAATCAAGGGTTAAGGGGAAATGGCAGGAAAGTGGAGTTGAGGATTATCAGATCAGCCATGATCTTATTGAGTGGCGGAGCAGACTCAATGGGTTGAATGGCCTACTTTTCCTCTGACCTACAATGGACCTGGGAGACGAGATTTTGTTGAAAATATTTGATCATTTTCTTTAATTTAAAGTACGCCTCGGCTAAGGCACTTGATCAGAACTCAACGTGTTCTTTAATTGAAGCTGTGCCATTTACAGCAATATTTATACATCACATTTTGATGTATTAAACTGTTCTAACAACAACTTGGATTTGTTTGGCACTTGTTAATATGAAAATAAAAAACTGGCATGGAGGTCCAGGCCAGCTGTTCCATTCAGCCTGGCCCTGTTGCTAGGCTATTGCAGCTAAACTCTTCTTATTTATTGCTCCTCACATGTCTGCTCCACCCTCGCATCATCTCTCAGGTTCCAGCTTGTAACCAAAGACAATGGGAAAAGCCAGGCGAGTTAAAGAGCATAAATTACTCTGCAAATTCCTCTTCAACCTCCTCAGGCAGTCCTGTGGATGAGACGTTATCTTTAACATGGTGGGGGGGATAACCCAAGGTACTACACAGAGACATTATCAAAGATAATTTCACCAGTTCCACAGAGGGCTATGTTGGTGTAGATGACTAGGTGCTCGGTTTAAACTGTAGCAAATAAGGAGAGAGAGCTTGGATGGTGGAGATTTTTATGGTGGGAATTCTATAGGTTTTGACCTGGATGGCACAGGTAGCAATGATGGGCTGAAGGATGCTGAAGATGTGCACGAGGCTAGATTTGGAGAAATGTTGAGTTTTCTGGGAGGGTTACAGAATCAAGGAGAGGCCACAAAGTGATTCAAAGAGGTTACAGAATCAAGGAGAGGCCACGAAGTGATTCGAACATTAAGATAAGAATTTTAAAACTGGCGTCTGCGCCAGACTGGAAGCACAGGGGGATGGGAGAATGAGACCTGGCCTAGTGAGAGTTTAGATTGATTCAGGTCTACAGAGGGTGAAAGTGAGAGCCCAATTCAGACTGCATTGGACTGGAGGGATAGATGAGGCAGAGATGTGAGATAGAACGGAGGAATGGGTGCTTAGCAGTAGTGCGAAATCTTGGGAAGCGTGGATAAAATCATGGCAATTGATGGGAGATGCCCAAGGCAAATTTCTGTGATAATCTCTGTGATATAAATAGATGCTCCAAATATTTTATTAGTAGACCAGCATTGATATCCCTCAGTGCATAGAAATGTAGAAATAATTGAGATGCTATTACATTTAACACACGGGATAGTACCAGTACGGTTACTTGAAGTGCTTTGAAGAGTGCAGGAGGGCATGCCAGGAGCAGCACCAGGCATACCTGTAAATAAGGTGACAACCTGGTGAAGCCACCAAACAGGACTACGTCTGTACCAAACCGCATAAGCAGCAAGTGATAGATATACCTA